ATCAATATAAAAGTGTCCAAGGAGAGAGTCTAAATACTTTATTCGGAGACGTTCATGAATAAAATATGTTGTTCACTTATATTTATGACAAAAATGAATCCACTTTTCTTCTGTCACATATTAATACATAAGAAAATTCTTATTTTTATATTTGTATAATTTACTGATTTAGCCGAAATTCTATTATCAATCAATCCTTCAAGTCATAATTTATTAGCTCCTCACTTCCCAACCCCCATCAACATAATCAACCAATTATTATTTCTCATCCCAAAAATATGAGTAATTTAATTCTTTAGTATTAATCATTGCATTATCTACCATTAGGAATAATACTATTGATATGACAAATGTAAAATGCAATAACTCTGTAGATTTTCAGTTAAAAACTGCGTTCGTCGTTGACTGATATTACCTAAAACACCTACAAGTTTAAGAATCCTCAAACGTAAATTTCTTTAACTGGACACTAAACTTTTATTGTACTATATGTGACATAAATAATCAAAATATAGGTTAAATATATATAAAGCTGATTAATTAGATACTTAACCATTTTTCAATACTAAATGGCTTTTGAAATAAAAATGTTACATTGAGAAGGAGGAATGTATTAGTAGAATTTTAGTGAATGAATTTGAAGTAAATCGAACGCTTCACCTACCAATTTGGTCCAAACGCTTTTCAAGGAAATGTGATCAAACATCAAATTTATCCAATATAAATAAGTACATGATTTTCTGGTTAAATGTATACTAAACAGGTCATCCAATTACGTTAAGAATGTTTAAAGTAGGTATTTGTTTTGGTGTGCATGAGACATGTGAAGTGAAACGAATAGTGTGTTAAGATAACAGTTTGTATATATTTGTAAGTGAATCGGAGGTTTGAGAATAAATTTTATTAACTATTTACCGCCTCTGATCGGCGGATTTCTAAGAAAACATACAAATACTGTGAGACTATTCGAACAAATTTAGACGAAAGTTCTTATATTAAAATGTTACCGTTTTGATAGCAGGTTATAACAAATGAAAATCAAAACAACATACATTAAGAATCTAATCATTTAGCTACATAAACGTTGACGTGAATAAGATTCATTTAGCCAGTGGATTAGAAATTAATAACCTAATTACTGTCACTTTGGTCAGTTAGAAATCAATCGTCAATTTAATTTAATTCTAAATGAAAATGGATGCTGTTTGCATAAAGGTCAAGTTATACAGAAGAGTTAACAAAATTGAAAAGTGTAAATCATTGAATTCTGACCAAATGGTTGGACGTTTGTAAATCCTATTTCATTTCTGAAGTAGTTGGTGTACATTTTTTAAAATGAGAATAGCTTTGAAACAATTTCTTTTTTAGCTTATTTTGTAGTTGCTGAAAGCGTTGAAAATTATCTTCAAGATGAATTATTATTATTGACAAATTACTAAACTACTGAAATATAATGTTTATATACATATCAGTTAGAATGTTTGTCTGAAAGTATGGTAATAATTAAATCTAATACGACTAATTAAACAACTCGAAGAAATGTTATGAAGAAGACATTGCTTTTGTCCCACTATGTTTTATTCTTACCGCTAACGATTACTTTCCATCGTTGAAAATAATGATCAATCAAAACTTAAAGTAGAAATACACTATTTAAATTCATTCTACTGATTAACATTTTAGCAAACTGCTCAATTCATCTAACTCTTTAAAAGTCACCTATTTCATACTACTTTTGAATAATTTCATACACATAGTTCCCTTTATCATTTTGAAAAGAGCAAGAACAAATATTCTAGCGGAATAGCATGAATTCATTTTTTATTATTTCGTCGGTTCTCATCAGCCGCTTACAACCTGTGATATTTAAAATCATAATTACATAATGGGTTTAAATTACTTACATGAAAGGGTTTGTTTGGAAGTTATATTGAAGACATATTCGTAAAGTACATCATGGCTGTAAATGAAATTAATAGACTGAATGTTGTAAATATATAGCTAATGTGAAAGAATATTCTACAGCATTAATTGTGACAACAGTTCAAAAGGGTTAGAAACAATTGATTACATAGTGAATAAACACTGATAGGAATACAGTGAGTAGAGTTCAGTTGAAAAATTATTAATTTGAAAGATAGTTGAAAAATAAAAATCAATGATGTAATAAATACAAGAGCTTTTAAAAAAAATTTTAAGGTGCAGCGAGAGAATATTTGTCACCAAGGCAAGGAAAGAATAACAACCATCTCCTTTCGAATGTATAGGTCAGGATTTTGACGTCTGATGGCAACGGCTTCAGCAAATTTCAGAAGACTGGTGTTTGGCTGCTTACTAATCACCCTAAAGAATTGCAAGGTATCTACCTGATGTCCTGTATCAAGGAGATGCTTGGTGATTGCACTATTCAGAGTCCTTCTTTCCCTTGTTCTAAGACATTTTGGAACATGTTCAAAAAATCTAAGATGTGCTTTTGAATAGATAAATTAAAAAAAACTAGACAGTTACATATTTTAGAACAAAATAGTTTTGTTGTTGTTGTTGATAAGACGTCAGTTTAATAATAAATTGAGCTAAAATCCATAAAGAATAGCTAAATACTTTTAAGGGTTCAAGAATAATAATTTTTAAAGAATTCAAATACACCATTGACCTGACAACCAACTCATTGAATAAAACTTAATCGTTATACGTTTTTTTTTTCAAAAAAAAAACTATTTTTTATCTATGACCTATTTATTAAGTCAAATTTTTGCATGAATAAAATTCATGCTTGAGAAAAGCATTTGATGATGATCGAAAGAAAAAACTTGATCAGTGTTATAAAGCAATTCATTTTGATAGATTGTTTTTTTTTGTTTGTTTTGTTTTACATCTTTTATACAAATAAGATTGGTTATAAAGTGATTTTTTAAAAAAATGACAAGTTTTAACTAAATATAAGTTTTTGATTCAGATCATGAATCGATTAATGTTAAACCACCATGGAAAACCTGGAAGTACTAGTTTTCAATGGTAGTCTAACATTAATCGATTTATGATCTGGATCAAAAACAAAATAATCTCCACAACCCCTATATTGTTAGATATAAGTTCGTTTTTCTACATGACTTTCTTTATAATTTAAGTATGGATAAATATTATTACCACTTGATCATCGAGATTTATATAAGTAGATTGAAATATACAGTCAACAAGGTTATTAATTCCTTATAGTTTAAGTAACCGTAAATTCGAGGAAACTTTATTTTTATGCGAATATTTATTATTGTTATTATTAATGGCTTTATTCAATATTATATTTTGGTACAATAGAGAATTCTCAGCACAGGGTATTTCAACAAGTTACTTATACAATAAAAAAAGTAACAAAAACAACAAAAGGAATAAAAAAAGGTTTTTAAAAGACAGCCGAAAAACTGTACAACTTTTCAAATTAGAGACACGTTAAGAATGCAGGTTATTGATTAGGTTAACTCTAACAACCTGTTCGTCACAAAGTATATTTGCTAGGTAAGGTATTATAAAACTTTTATACTTTTCCTTGCGTGCATTGATTTTAATGTAATTACGTCTCGTTCTACCAGAAAATATACAAGGAGGAAGATAAGAGTGAAGGGGATGGTTAGTATCTGATAAAACAACACCTGCCAGGAGTTTGCATGACTTTAGATGTCTATGCACAGCCATATTAATTATGACCTCGAAAGATTCACCACACATCTTGTCAACTGCCTTCAGCACTCTCCGTAATACAGCAAAGTCTTTTCTCAAAAGCCCGTGGAAGAATAATGGAGAAAAGCAAAGAAAAATAGGTAATATGCAAGAATTGACAAATCGTAAGACTAAATGACGAGTAATTCTATGAACAGTTTAGTTTTGGCTTTTTGCACGCAATAAAATGGGTCTAAATCTACAGAAATGACATCAATGTCCTCAAGATTGTGTACATTCGTTAATGAGTCTCAACAAGCTTGAAATTTTATTCTGAGGATTACTCTCTTTGCTCTTTCATAAATGGTATATCCTTCAATTATATTCAGGGTTTTGAATGGGACATAGCTCCACTAAATGTTCTTATTACATTCTTAAAAGTTTATTGGTGAGAAATTTTGGAATACTATTAAATGCAATCAATCAAAAATTTGCAGTTTAATTAGTTATTAGCACAGAAAATCAAAACGAAGTATAGAAAAACCTATTGTAATAATATAAATTCTCAGCAGTACTTGGAGTCTATAATCAACTATTCACTAGCATTACTAATTATCACAATTAACATTATTAATAGTAGTATTCATGGTCATGGTAGTAGTAGTAGTAGCAGTGGTAGTGTTATTGATTAATAATCGGTCACCCAGAATCATGAGTTTTAATTTCATACAAGGTAAACGACTGTTAGGATATATGGACTACAACTTACAGAGTACAGCACGATCTTTGCATGTTTCATATAACACGATTCATTACATATGAACTTAAACTGTTTATTTATTCAGGGATTCAAAATTATGCCTATTAGTGTAGAATTCAAGAATGAAGTAACATTCATCTGAGACTAAATTCTGTGAACTAGCCACAAACTGAAAAGTAAATAACGTCAATTTCTTACATTATTAATTTTATCACAGTCTGGATGAAAGAAATTCACTTAGAGAGCATTATATTGGTTAGTAATTAATGGGTTGTCTCAAAATTCTCAGTCATTACTAGGATGGAAGACAATTTCTGTCATATTTCATATCTAATTCCGAATATTAACTGAACAAATATGCACAAGCATAGATACAAAGATAAATACTTTTTGACATCATAAATAATTATTATACTTTATACCAAAAGTTATATACAAGAAAACCTTAGTAATTAATGTATACTTATTTGAAAAAGACAAAATTGTTGATTGGTTCCAAAATAATCTTATGCTCACTGTTGTTCAAATCCTCAGTAATTCTCGCATCCTAACACACTGTTTTTTGCTTTATTATTATTATTATTAGACCCAGACAAACATTTATGAAATTGTTACTGATTTACGAATGGAACAAGATTGTCTACAACACAGAATGGAGACTTTAGAATCATCACTGATAAAAGTACAGGTCAGTTGGTGAATTTGCCTACCGTTTGTGTTATATATATTCCATTTATAAAATGTATACGTGTTAAGTCTTGCATTTTGTATATCTCCACCACATACACAAGCTGATTACTATGTACTTTTACAGAGGTTATAAATCATGGTAATTAATCGATAATCTTCATTAATAAATAAAGCCAAAATCAGCTGTCAACACTACAAATAAACTTATCATCCCATTCATCAAGAATAGTCCTGACAATAAATCATTAACGTTCATTAACGGAAGAAATTTGTCTTTCAGAAGACATTACCAAGTGTCATATATAGCAAGACAACTTTAGACTGTTATACTAAGTGATCGTTAGCTGGTTGCTTATAGACAGAACCTAAATAACCTAGACTAAACTAGGAATAGAATCTAGATGGTCTTCAATCCATTTTTCCAATTATGAATCCCAATCAATCACATAAGATGAATCCTTAAAATATATATAGATTGATAATGTCTCGGTAACCAGAGTCATATTATCCTTTCCTTAGTGTTGAACAATTTCTAAATGCAATATGGTAATATGGCCACTTACCCAAATAGCTCAATGCTAACATTTGTGGAACTGGGTGATACGGCCTTAAATCCCTCTAGGAGAATCACATCCCTCAGAGCAGCACGCACACTATGTTGCTCATCACCTAACCTAAGCCTATGGTTCCCTATCGACTATCAGCATCAAATTCCTAGGCTTAAAACCAGTCAAATAATATTAGCAAACGAGTTCCATGAAAGATGGAAAGTCGACCATCAACAACCAAGAACCTTCAATGATTTGCAAAATCCAGCAATCTAGACCAATCAAAACATCAGCAAAAAAATCTCAAGCTTAATCACGATATTCTTTGATTCGCTTCATTGGAAGACTGCTTTAATTTCTGGGATACTTGTTCCTCCTACCATCTGAATATTTCAACAAGTTATCACGAATGGTGGTGGTATAGCCACGTTTATAATTGTGAACCGATGTCGATCTAATTTGCGCGCTTAAAGATTTCAGACGACCTTATCGACTGCTTAACATTACGATGCCTTTTAAAGCAATTGAACAAGTACAATTATTTCACTGGTTGAAACCATGAGTCAATTGAATCTAGATCACCATGGAAAACCTGGGACTCCCCAGTATTGCGCATCCACGATCCCGCTCCCAAGTCTGTTGTGAGATAGGAACTCACTGAAGACAATGTTGTACGGTGGCGCAAATTCGTGGGTTGGTTGAAGTTAGATATTAACACCGTTGGATACCGGCTCAGTGGTCTAATGGTTAAGCGATCACGCGCGAGACTGTTAGGTCATGGGTTCGAATCTCGCGGGGAGCGGGCTCGTGGATGCGCACTGCTGAGGAGTCCCATACTAGGACGAAACGGCCGTCCAGTGCTTCCAGGTTTTCCATTGTGGTCTAGCTTCAATTGACTGATGATTTCAATCAGTGAAATTTCTAAAATCTCCACAAAACCCATTCTGATAAGTACAATTATGTTTATGTTAACAACATTTACGTGACTCTGGACTGCACCTCATTTACACTGTCTGTTTTCGTTGATGAATTCAATGAATTCACTGTTACTCCCTTGAATAATTTACCTTAAATTATGTGTCGATATAAATTAACGTGATTATTCCATCACTGAGTCATCAAAATGTACTCGATTTCCCCGCTCGTTTGGACGAGCACTGAGATTTGATTTTCATCCAAAGATGTGGGAATATATATGTCGCGTAAACGTGATCGATTCTTTAGTTCTGATCATTATATTATTTGTGTTCACCCTAAAGTGGTAAGCTTGGAAATACTACACTCATACATTAGACAGAGAAAGTTATACGCTGGAATTTACTCAGAAGAAAATATCCAAGATCTGAAAATTATGTTTCATATAACGAACTGGGATTTATTTAGGAATGACTTATTTGAAAACACCACGATTTTGTCGCTTGTTATCTTAAATTCTGCTTTGAAGTTTATTGTTCCATTGAAACTATTTTTCTAAGTTTTGACCGACTTACCTCCCCATAACTAAAAAGATTTCCGAGGAAGAAGGAAAGAGTGTACAAGAAAAAACACTTCACTGAAGTTCGAAAGTTCAATGGTTTAATAAATCGAGAAATTAGATGTTTGGATTTGATATTTATTCGGAAAACCCTGTTGAAAAAGCTTCTCAATTAAGTGAACATTATTTAAAGAGAGGTGTTGCTTAGATGTTTTCTTTATGATCTTTGTTTTTCTTTTATATTTCGGTTTATCTAGTTGGTCATTATTTTCTATATATAAATGCCTTAATCAATAAGTGTGCGATCAGACTATACCAAATGTATTGTACTAATATGACATATAATTCTGATAAACTTCATTTCCTCATAGCTTGATCTAAAATTGTTAAATGGAATAACTTATACGAAAATGTAAACCAATCAAGGCAATATGGGGCAATAATCACAATGAAATAAAATAAGTCTCTACGTATAATAGGTAAAAATACAAGTTGATAGTAGGAAAACAGGTGTACTGATAGTAGTAAGAATAATAAGATAAAATACGATAACAAAAGTCTTATCAATAGTTAAACGTTGGGAATAGAAGGTCAAACGTGGGTAAAAAGACTAGGAATAGTAATCGCAAAACATTAAAATCATTACGTAATAAGAAGTGTGTAAATAATTAGATAGTGAAGAATACAAACGGCAAGAGGCGGAAAATTACAAACAAATACTAGATGTGAAAATAAGGCTAATGATAACAAAAATAGAATAAAATAAATAGATAATAATAACGAAGAAAAAAATCGTTAATTAAGTTATAACTGGCCATGGAAGGGATAGGGGAGTTACGAATTTCTTCTGTACACATAAATTGGGTTTATATGTACGAATTCCAATGGCTTCAGCTATATGTAGGAGGCGGGGACGAACTCCATTGGGAACTGATGGAGGTATACGATAGATAACTCGAAATGATTTCGATTTATCTACAACATGACCGCTATCAATGAGATGTGCCAAGATAGAACTGCGAATAGATTTTATCTGGCCCTTTATATACCAAGTTGGTAGATGTTCACTCATTCGTTGGTTAAGTTGCCTGGTAGTACGCCCGATATAGCTATCTCCACAGGAGCAGCTGAATTTGTAAATGCACATCGAAGTGGCCAACTCAGCTAACTGCTATAAATTCCTGAAAAGAAGACCCACTCAGGACTTATTGCCACAAGAAATCACAGAGTTATCGAATAGGCCCATGAACTACAATTTCTGCTCTTTTAGTACAGTACATGTTAGTTATAATAAGTAGTTGAGATATTATGTTGTGTGATTTCCGAAATCCTATGCTAAAATAAAGTAATAAATTCATTACCAAAAAACAGGAATAGGAAAATGACGAGTTTTAATGATGAAATAAATCGTTAATTCAATATGGTTATCTATCAAATAACATTGTGATGCGTAAAATCATTAGTGATGAGAGTAAAAGTCACCATATACTTCAATATTTAATTTAGTATAAAGGTATACATGGCCAATGAATCATAAATGTATGATCTGTAAACCCCCATAAAATTCAACAATTTGAATGGTGGGATGATCAGTGAACTATTCCTTTTTGTTGAAGATTGTATAAAGAGGATACTTAAATACGTAATTTGAATCTGACGAATAAATGCTGTTATACTAATGCCATCTAGAATAGATCGCTTTAAACTGAGGTGTGATGTTTGCTACAGCTGGATTGTTTAATTACTGACCTTAATGATCACTCTAAAACCATCAAGTCAATCATTTGTCATAATCTTATTTCCTGCTAGTTATCTACTCAAACTTCATTACCTTTATATGTCATCATGTTCCTGTTGGCCATTTTGACCGGTTGACTTCTAACCACATAGTTGGTTGACCATTCGCGTATGGACTGACAGATTAGAACTAAATTGATATTTTTTTTAGTATATATCAAGTTTTATCTTTCCTATTCTTGCTCTGATGGATTTCAGTGAAGTTTACATGATTCATTCATTTGAGGATGCAATTCATAATCGACAACTGATTATGATTCCATGACAATTCTTCTATGAATATAGAAGTCAGATATATTTTTAAATGGTGAGAATAGCTGGACTTATGTAGTGAACTTCACTCCATAAACTTATCATGTAGAGAATCAAATTAATTAGAAAAATAAATGGTTTATCTCAATAGAAATGCATGCATCATCAAAAATAAATATTCACTATCTAACAGTTTAGTGTTGCTTCAATCATGTAAGTATCAACAAAAAAACTGAAAGTTTGGGTTCGGTGGTTAATAATGCTCATTTCTAACAGCCACATACCTGATTCTCTCAACGATAACTGGTACCGCTCGTCAAGATTTTTACCTAATGAGATTAGTTTGTGCTAGATTTAGCCAAAATTGATAAAAGACGGACAGATTAAGATTCTATTGATCACGAAGTCAAGGTAATTAATATGGACAAAATAAACTATTGATACTTATCTTTTTCATTCCAGTATTTGTTTGAAACTTGATTCAACTTTAACCGGGTTGAACTTAGTACAATTAATTAAATGATCTACATTATATATTTTTTGAAATGGTACAACTTCACAACACAGTCGGGCCTGTATTGACCCCAAGTAAAAAAATAACGCATCTCATAAACGTCTACAATTCAACTGTTAGTGCGTCCTATCATTAGTTATATGACTCCAATATATACTCCATATGTTAACACAAAATAAGATTACATCTTTATAATATAAAGCAATAGATTATTTACCCAATATCTTAATGTTCGGAAAACGGAGTACCATTGTCATCCTCACAGTGTTTCCAAAATTCATTTGGTCCTAAATGTTTAGTCAATGTAACCTAAAGGAGTTGGTAATTTTTTTTATAAATGATGAAATGTAATGAATTTCCAATGTGTTCTGAGAAATTAAAGATTTCTAACGATTTGATTCTCAAGAATTTTTAGACTTTTTTTCTTGTATAATATGTCTGGATTTCAATGTGGTATAGCCACTTCTAACTAACAGTTTATTTTGTAATCTATAATGTTTTTTCTTTTATTCCTTATGACAATATAATAATTACACTACTTTGCTAGTTTCAATAAGTAACAATGATATTTACTTGAACAGTCAGCTCTCAAGTTCTAAATTGAAAATAATTATAAACTTAATTTTAATTAAATAAATTAATGACAAAATGACAACATTAAAATAATATGTTGTAACCAAGGCATAATTACTAATGAGGATGAACTTGTTAACTTTTCATCTAATTAACTGTTACGTCCTTGATCTCATTACCCACTTTTTGTGCTGAGGGTAACTTGTCTAATCTAGATTAAGAACTTGACGCGGTAAGCTGACCGGCTTAACCTTGAGGCTAGTACGCGTGAGTTCGAAGTAGGGTAGAGGGAATAAAACTATTCTATCACCTGATTGGCTGACAAGCACGTGAATCAGAGAGGATGAGTCAACTGGAACGCTACTCGATTTACTCTCATTTCCGATCTGGTTCCCGATTTCAGATTAGTGTAAAAGGTACATGAACAAGTAAATAACTCGGCCACAACATACAATAATTAGGAAAATACAATTATGTCCAAAACTGGGACTAGCGTAGAAAAAAGAGTACAAAATAATACGTTTAAACTACAATAGCTTTGGAACAAAACGGGCTATGGCAGTAAATCATACACCAAATGAAAGCTTATGATCTGTAGAATAGAATAGAGACAAAAATAAATGTTGCTGTTTTATAAGCTCTGAATTAAATGAAATAACGTCCTGAAAAATAGCTTTCGTAGTTTGTCAAGGCTTTTTGTTTCTCTGTTCACATCATTAACGTATACTAATGATTAGATACGGATGATCACAACTAAAATAAGGCCATTTTTCAAACTTTCATCACTTTTCTTAATTTAGTAATAAAATAAAATACATGTGTGTATGTAAAGTATGGCGTGGAAAAAGTAACGGTTCACTAAAACTGATATTTATTGGAATCTTTAGATCGCTGACTACGTCATGAACTCAAATCTCCAAACAGTTAGGTCAATTTCTGCTACAGCAAAAATACTGTAAGGTCTGCTAACAATGGCAAGATTTTGACGTTTTTAAAAACATTATTCTTACTTCTATCACTTCGGAAAAACTGGGAAGAAGAGCCAAAGGAAGGGTTGATTCGAGATCTTTAATCGGTAGTCGATGCCTCACAGGAGGTAACAGGCATAATCAATTTCTAGCATCTTACCACTAACAAATTGGATTAATTACTATTTCGGAAAAATCGAAGCATTATTAACTGTTTTATGTACACGAAGCTACTTTAACTTTAGAGGGTTACGATAACAACATAGGTAAATTATTTCTTCAAATCGATTGAATCTATAATCTAACTACTTGAAGTTTCAAAACCATTTTTTAATCAACGATAATTATTCATCAATCACTTATTGTATTGTAGTTATACAGCACAGCTTCATTAAACCTAAGTACTTTTGATGTGCACTGAATAAAACTTCTGAAAAAATCCAACTAAGCGAAAAGGTTATTTGTCATATTTTAATCTCAATGGTTGAGATCATGTGCCGATTTAAGCTAGACCACCATGGAAAACCTGGAAGCACTGGACGGGCGTTTCGTCCTACTGTAGGACTCCTCAGCAGTACAAGTCGATGACGAGTTCACCTCGCGAGATTCGTTAAAATATTTCCATCATATTGAAAACACAGATATATGTACAAAGAATATTCTATTCATTAAGTTTTCATGAGATTTTCCGTCCATATTAGTGTTCTATGGGTAATAGACAAATTTGTGGTAAATAAATCAATTAAAACTACATATTATTAAATTAATTTGGATTTATAACCGTAGCATCTGATGAGAACTTATTGGAAAGAGCATTTCTGATGTTTAAATCTCTTTTTCTTTGAAGTGAAATCATGCTACTCATTAGTATTATGAATGACATAACCACAAAAAAAATTAAATCGTTTAGTGAAGAATTTAAAATTAACTTTCAGATATCAATTTTTAAGATTATCCTATATTTGAAGTATAAAGAGAAACAATCCATGTTAACCAGAATAATTTCATTAATATGAATAAAAAAAAACATTGACTCGATGTGAACGGCAACATAATTTGTTTCCAGTTTTGTTTTTTTTAAAAAATTTTTCTTAGATTACAAAGATTTTCATTAAACAAAAAAATCTTTCATTTTCATTTACAGGAACAACTAAGAGCACTACCGGGTTTAATAAGAACAGTGATTATACAACAACATTTAGCTTATCAAAAATTAGTCACAACAACAACACCTGGTACTACATCATCAATTAATCAACCAATGACTTTAAAATTTGAAGAACATAAATCATAAAAGATTTTACATCATGATGTCTATAATATGTAACTTCTTTCTTGAATAATATCCATTTCGGATAAATTCGTTGAATGTATGTGAGATTGACAACTGGGCAGCTTTGATATATAACTAATGAAATCAACCTGTTTTACTTACGGTTTCTTTTCTTTCAATTCAATATAATAAATTCAATATTGGATTGAAATTTACTTATCCTTGATGAACAGTGAATATTTTTACTGAATTTTTTTAGAATTCCATTATTTCAATTTTACTGTCTTTCATTCCAGCACTTGTTTTAGTGAATGAAAATTTAAAAAAAAAAGAAAAGAAAAGGAAAAGAAAAATCAGATCAATCAATTATTCCATGTTTAAGAACATATACATATACATATATATTTATACAAATGGTTGTAAACAAAAATGATTATTTCATATACTAAATCTTTCACAATTCAAATGACACAATTTTAGTTTGTTCATAATGCACAAAGATGAAATTTTCTAGTGTAGATTATTTCTAAGATGAAAATAAAGTTTTAGTATGAGTGATTAATGAAATTGTTTAATATATGAATCCTTTTTTTCCCTTACACTACTACTACTACGACTATGTATTAATATATAATTAGTAAAATGCCTTAAATTAAAAACCTAATTAATGATAAGCACTAGTCAGTCAGTCAGTCATCTACAACGTAGGACCAGGCACATATATGCATCGGTCCAAGTTGTCATACTTCATTAGCACAACAACATCAACACCAAATTCATAGAAGTGGTTACTTCAATGACAGTAATATATAAAAGAAAGATTGTGTATAAGAATATAGTACAGGAAGAAAGAATTGGTTCGTAGAAAGAAAGATATGAAGCGATTTTATTCTCTTAGTTTAAGGGAAGACAGAGAGTGTGTACACCGACGCCACTGTAATCGATTTTGAGCCATGTCACTCACGGTCTCCAACCATTGGTTACAATAGTCATGTCGACACCAACCAAGTAGTCTTCACCTGCCAACATGGTTCAGACTAAAAGTTAGTAACTTCAAGGACTGTTGTCACGTTTTGGTTTTGCCGCCCCTCAATTTCTTCCAACCATCCCCAAAATTGATCAGCATTGAGCGTCGTGGTAATCGGTGTTCAGGTGTAAGCCCTAAATTTCAATAAGAGGTTTTCTTTTTCATAAAAATCATTCAACTTAAAGTAATTTAAGCAAAGATGGATACTGGCTAGCAGTGGAAGTGAACCGTACTGGGTTCGAGTCCCAGAGTGAACATTACTTCTGGGATGCAGGTACATCTAGCTGATGAGTCCCAAATAGGACGAAACGTGCGTCTTAATTTCCACTGCTAATCATCATTCATCTGTGCTTATAATGCTTGTGATTTAAGGCAAGAAAAAACTAGTGTAGTACACAGAGTTTATATCCTAGGGTTGTCAATAATTCTATATAGGTTTTGTTTTACGGGAAGATATACAAGGGTTTTTGGTATCGGATAAAATAACGCTGCCAGGAGTTGAACAGATTAATAACGTTTGTCTCCATTCAATCGCATTTAAATAAGACTGTAGCGGTAAATAAATCCCCAAAATAAATAGCCCTGTAAGTTTTCGACATTGGATGCTGACCATATGTTTTAGTGGACTCATCTAGCTGAAGGCGCTCGGTCAGGCATCCGCACCAGATCACGTGTGGTAACGCCGTGCTCAACATCTACCGCAATCGCTAGCCAGATTAGATCAGAGAATTCCGATATATTGGTTATCGCCAAATATACTCTTCCGATCTCCTCGACTCTGTCTTTTGATTTCTCTCGGTGGGAACGAATTATATTAGGTGTTACTAGTAGATGCGTTGTCAAACACTGAATACCTGTGTCATAATCATTGGTGAGACCGTCGTGATCTGGTACACCTAATTGCAACTGTGAGTCTGTTCCTTTTTGGGACTTTTATATATAATTGACTTATTTTTTTTAATTTTTTTAAACATTGTGATTTTTTTCGTGTTTTTTCCTGGATATATATATTTTTTCCCCTCGTTCATTATCGTACTTCATATTTCATCATGACTGAACAGACACCCAAAGTACTAAAGCTTAAGACTTTGTATCCGCCTTCGTTTCAACTCATGCCTTTCTGGCCCGACAACATCGAAGCCTGGTTTTGCTACGCAGAAGCCGACTTTTCCGAGCACGGCGTGATCGACACACGTGCACAATTCCTCGCAGTAGTCAAGGCACTACCGCGCGAATTCAACAGGTACGTAACACCTAGTATGTTTACTAGTGATGTTTCCGACTCTTACGAAATCTTGAAACGTTCGATTCTTAAACGAGGAGACCTAACCGATCGACAAAGGTTAGATCAACTCTTCAATAACATCGACCTGCAACACGGTTCTGCGACGGACATGTTGCGACGGATGAGAGAGGTTATAGGCCCAAGAACTTTCGACGAAGGTCTATTCAAACAACTTTTCTTATCTAAACTTCCTCAACAGGTGCAAGCAGTTCTGGTCTCGTTTCAGAACAACGCCTTAGACGAGCTAGCTGCATCTGCCGATCGTATTTTAGAAATAACGAGGTATTTTCAGTCAAAGAAAAGCCTCACACGACTCAGAATGACATAACGAATCGGCTCTAAACTTACAGGCGGCAAACGGAAAACCTATCGCTACGTATGGCAAAAGGTACGTTTACCTTAACGTGGGTTTACGTAAACCCATCCACTGGATCTTCGCTGTTGCAGATGTATCTATGCCAATCATTGGTATGGATCTTCTACAACACCATAATCTGATCATCGACACGCGCGAACGGAGGCTAGTAGACGGAAACACTAATCTATCCGTTTGCGTAACTTCTTCTTCCGGTTGTAGATTATCCCCAGTCACAATTAAGCATACGATAGACCCACTCTATCAACCACTACTCGATAAGTATCCTGGGATACAACAAACTCAAGCGAAACTACCGTGTGTAACCAGCAACGTTACACATCACATCACGACCACAGGACCACCTGTATTCTCTAAAGCACGACGACTAGCCCCTGAAGAGCTGAGGTTAGCGAAGAACGAGTTCGATCACATGATAGACTTAGGGATCATACGACCATCAAATAGTTCATATGCATCTCCGTTGCACATGGTCCCTAAAAAGGACAGCAACGATTGGCGTCCAACTGGCGACTATCGGCGATTGAACGCGAAAACCATTCCCGATCGTTACCCGTTGCCTCACATTCACGATTTGACAGCTACCTTGAAAGGTACAACTGTATTTTCGAAAATCGACTTGGTTAAAGCGTATAACCAAATCCCCATGGCCACAGACGACATACAGAAAACAGCTATCATAACTCCCTTCGGACTCTATGAATTTTTGCGAATGCCTTTCGGTCTAAGGAATGCTGCTCAAACATTCCAAAGATTTGTAGTGGCATTGGACAATAGCCACACAATCCACAAAGCTGTGAACACGAGACTACTCAGAAAATAGACATTCAATATTTAACGCGGAGAAATACCTAACAATGGAGAAGGCGCGAACAACGAATGGAATAGACTGGATTTGATCGGATGGCATGGCTTGGCCATGCAGGCGTGGTCCATCTAAATGTTACCTTATATCTTCTATTCATGTTAAATATATTGTTCCTTCTCTAGCCTAACGTCGTTCTACATCATGTATTAGTAATTGATACGATACAGTGAGTTGGTAAAGTCGATGGTGTGACTTCCACGTAAGATCTTATAGATTAGGCAGTTATATCATGACAAATATACAAATTTAGGATTAGGTCTATTATTAGAGCAGTACTAATATCATAGTAGACTATAATTCTACAGATTCATAGACGACGTTTTTCGAGGTCTCAACTTCGTACACGCGTATGTTGACGACTGTCTAATCGCAAGTCCGGACAGAGAAACACATCTCAAGCATCTGGACCTTGTTTTCGAACGATTACAAAAACATGGCATACTGTAAACGTTCAGAAATGCCAATTTGGAACCGACTCATTAGACTTTCTGGGACACACTATCGATGCTCAAGGTATCCGACCCCTTAGAACCAAAGTGGCGGCCATTCTGGATTACCCAGAACCGACCACCGTCAAGCAATTACGCACGTTTAACGGCCTGGTAAGTTTCTATAGACGTTTCATACCGAATGCGCATTACTTATGAAACCTCTGACCGACCAACTTCGTGGAAATGCGAAATCCATTAATTTGGACGACACCGCACGAAAAGCATTCTCCACAGTTAAGGAACTGATCGCTAAAGCAACAATGCTCGCACATCAGGACACCGAAGCACCCATTAGCATCGCAGTAGACGCATCCGACTCGGCAATCGGAGGAGTCTTACAACAATGGGTTAACAACTCCTGGCAACCCTTGGCATTTTTCTCTAGAAGGTTGCTAGACACCGAATCGAGGTACAGCACATTCGGTAGGGAACTCCTAGCTATGTATTGTGCTGTACGGCATTTCCAACACTATATCGAAGGCCGTGAATTCACTCTTTTCACGGACCATAAACCGCTCACTTTCTCGTTAAGCTCTCCTTCTGACAAGTACTCTCCCCGTGAGTCTCGACAACTGGACTACATTTCGCAGTTTACTTCAGATATTCAACATATTCTGGAGCAAACAATGTAGTTGCAGACGCCTTATCTCGCATAACTTCCTTGAACAGTTTCCAAGGAATCGACCTTCTTAAACTCGCCGAGCTTCAAAAAGAAGACACTGATCTTCAGCACGAGTTATCGTCCACAACACTTAAACTACGCATCAAACAGATGGGAACAGGTAAGGAAACCTTACTTTGTGACACATCTACAGGTAGGGATCGCCCAATCGTGCCGAAACATTATCGACGCAATGTCTTCAATACATTGCACAAACTTTCTCATCCAGGTGTTCGTGCAACCATCAAGCTTATAGCAGAACGATTTTGCTGGCCTGGCATGAATAAAGACGTGAGGGAGTGGGCACGCTCCTGTGTAAGCTGCCAAAAATCTAAGGTTATCAGACACAATAAATGTCCCTTAGGCTCGTTTAAAACTCCCGATGCTCGTTTCGACCATGTTCATCTGGATTTGGTAGGACCTTTACCAGATTCAAATGGATACTCTTATCTCTTAACCTGCGTAGACCGTTTCACTCGATGGCCAGAAGCAGTACCTATCAAGGACATCACTGCTGAAACAGTGGCCCGCACATTCGTCGAACGATGGGTAGCAAACTTCGGCTGCCCTTCAACCATCACTACAGACCGCGGACGTCAGTTTGAATCTGATCTTTTCCGTCGTCTGACCACACTTTTAGGAATCACTCGCTTCCGAACGACCGCCTACCACCCACAAGCAAACGGGTTGGTAGAACGTTTTCACCGACAACTAAAAGCTTCACTATCAGCTGCAAACGTTTCACAGTGGACCGACGCTCTTCCACTCGTCTTACTAGGTATCCGCAATGCAGTGAAAGCTGACATTGGATACACTGCGGCTCAACTCGTTTATGGAACGACACTTC